CTCTGGTTGCGACCTGCATAATATCTTCATTGCTTCGTTTGGTACTCTGTCCGGGCCTGGGGAGACAGATTTCTTCAATTGGCTTGCGGCATGTCTAAGCTCAGCGATAGTGAAATGAGCGTCTTCTGGGAGGTCTTGTGGCCATTGCGTCATCTCTCGTTCCTCGTGTACCGGGAATAAACCTTGGGTAATCAGTTGAGCGCGGCCTGGAGTATTGATTCCAGGGATTTTTGAATTTCCGCATAGTTTTCCCATAACCAATTTATATGGCTTTCCCCAGGGGTCCCGCTGTACTTGATCGCACAGGTCAGTCCAGGCTTTTTCTTTCGCGCGTTTAATAGCTTTACACAGAACGGCTTTGGCCGTCTTTGCTGCTTCTGCCTCGGCTAAGCAGGATTCACAGCCGGCTTTCTTTCTTTTCCGCTTGTGGACTCGTCTTAGATGATTAGCGTCCTTACGTAAATTGCTAAGTTCTGTAGACCACCAATAAACCGATCTTCTTGCTTTTCCTAAGCGTGGCCTGTGTTGGAAGCCACATATCTGGGTTATAGCATCCGTGAGCCCCGTGGCTAACGCATCTACATCATTGGTTGTAAAACACAGTGGAAGTGGGTTCAAGTCTAGGTATTCCTTCAGTTTGCTAGGAACCACTTTGGTATTTGTGCATGGCTGGACGTCGGCTTCTGCGTTGAACTCCACACAGAAGTGCACGTAATTATGGTCACTCAACGATGTTTCTTCCAAGACGCTCCACTTTGTGATCGAGGTTGCTGTGCGTTGGGTCGCGAATGTTACATCGACAATGGACGATCGATTGCCGCTTTGGAAAGTAGCATCCGTTCCCTTGTTACACACGATCATTCCTGATGCTTGGATCATGTCGGCTAGAAGATCACCTTTTTTGTCGTTCGTTTTGCATCCCCATAAGGTGTGATGAGCGTTAAAGTCACCGCATACGATGACTTCCCCAGTGCTGGCTCTGATGCATGTTTCCAGACGTCGTAGGAAGTCTGTGAAAGCAGCTATGTCCGCTCTCGGTGTCCAGTAGCACGAGTATATCTTTATACCCGCCAATCTACACCAAATGAAGCCCATATCCGGTTTACCAAGTTCGTCTATCTGTATTCGATTGTAGTTTATGATAGCTGATTTTTTTGATTGGTCTTGCATCCATGACCGGTCACATGCTTGGTTTTGCTCGGACACCAGGATTATGTCAATATTGAGGTCATCGGCGGTTTTGGTGACCAAAGCTTGGGCTGCTTTGCAACAGTTTAGATTAATTTGTAAGAAATTAATCATGTTGTCGGTTGAGGATCTTGTGTTAAGGAGCGCCTGAAGTCAGCCGCGTCCTCTGTGCTCGCCTGACAATCGACTGCTAGGTGGTCAGGAACTCCACATCGTCTGCAACAGTTGCTTTTGTCTGGTCCTGAACACGTGCGAGACTCGTGTCCAAATTTTAAACATCGGAAACAGCGTTTCCGTTTTTTGCATAATCTAGTGCTACAGTACACCATACCTACACGTATACGTCCGATTTTTGTTATTTTCGCCGCGTTATCCCAAGGCATAAGAACCAGTGCGGATTGTGTTTCGCCATATGTTTTCCTCATGTTGAGAACTTTTACCGCCTCCCGCGGGGTGTCAGCGTTTAGAACTATTTCTGTTACAAGTTCGTCAATATTTGTGAGGGAGTCTAGGCCGCGGAACTCGACAAGCGATTGTTGCATGGGTGTTCTTATCAAGATGTCCGTTTCAACTATTTTTGAGACTTCTGCTCGCACTACATCAGCTGCAGGGGACCCACCAGAGACTTGAATCAGTATTCCTCCTGATCTCGTTTGTCGCATGGCGGAGATTTTGTTTCCGATTGCCCCCATGTTTACACCACTTTTAATTTTCTTTAGAACCTCCGAGTAGTTTTCTGGCTTTGTTTGGACAATTATGACGTCTGATCTGTTTCTGGTACGTACTTCTTCCAGTTTTCCATTTCGGGGGTTTCTGGGACGCCTTGTGTTTTTCTTTTGGTGTGTTTTCCAGCCAATATCGTCGCGTGGGCCATCGGTTCGGTCCGCTTCTAGTTGTGGAACAAAGTTATCATTTTCCGCCGCCTCGTATTGTTCTGATGGTTTACCTTCGTTTTTTCGCGAGGTTCTTGTGGGTGCACCTCTCCTGCCACCATCGTAGAGGTTCTGTTGATGTTGCTGTTGGACTTGTTGTGTCAGCAAAAACAGTGCTTCGCCCTGTTTTTCCATCAGCACTCGGAGTTCTTTGATTGCAGAGCGTGTCTCCTCCAACGCCGGCACGGCCGCGTCTGTTGCAGCATT